TGTTAGAAAAAGTACAAATTTTTTTTGTTTTTTGGTTTAGCATAATTAAGTCTAAATGTGTGACCAAGATTAAGATACTTATTATTTTTACATAAAACTTTAAAAGTTTTTATTTGAAAGGGGGTAAGGTCAATGATACATTTAAAGTAAACACTATTAATACTTTTTAATTCTGTCATTTTATTTAATATTTATACTAAGCACGAAGCAATAGTTTTCCATCTTGTTGTGATATTTCTGCTATTCTTTCATGTAAGACTAATGCGTAAATATTATAATCAGCGTTTGGATTAGCAGATAATTCGTAATGAAATGCTAATTTTGTAACACCATCTTTGATATCCATTTTTTTTTGTCAGGTCAAAATAAACAAAAGGAAATAAAGATTTAAAATTACTTATATTAAGTAATGTTCCACCTTGATAATCATTATTTGCATAGACGTATGACATTACATTTATAAAAACTCTTGACATATCTGTAGAAGGTTTAAAGTGAATATCTGGATATTCGTTTCCATTTGCAACTTCCAGGTAACATCTTGATATATTGGCATTATTTGGCAGATCAAAAGTGTCGTATAAAAATGGATTTGCTATTTGTGAATCAATTCTTGCTGTATCAATTCCAAAAACAAATACATGCCTTGGTTTTGAAATAGCATTTGTAATTCTAAAATGTCCTGTCTGTTGCTGTGTATTATTTGACCTTTCAACTACTTCATTCAAATATGTCCATTTGTAAGGTTTAAGATAATTTTCCATGTACAACTTTTGTCCTTCTGAATTAAACGTAAGTTTTGGAATAAAAAGTTGTAGTCTTGTTATAATAACTCTACAATCATCAGCAGCTTTAAAAATTAAATTTGCATCTTTTTCAGTTTCGATATTTAGCTCAATTTTTGTATCTGGAAGCAGCTTATCTTCCAATGCTTCAAAGAAAGAATATCTATTAAGAGGAATTTCACAATTTACTGTTGCTGACACACCTAATAGTAATTTTCTTTTATGAAAACCTTTATTATAAGTTGCTTGAGCAGGTCTTTCCTCTGCAGCTCTTGATGTATCAAGAAAATAAAATTCGTTTGTAGCAACACTCTCAGCATATGAAGGATTATACTCAAGCAAATTTTTAATATTTACAACATGATTAGCATAATTACAACTATAAACTTCTCAGCCATTTGCCAGGATACTTAATTTTTCTATAAAGGAGTTACTACCATTTACAATTCCGTTATGATCGGCAACCGCAATGTTTGTTCCATCTGCCAGCTTATTTACTTTAAAATCCATTGATAATCGTGCATTATACCAATCAAAAGGAGTAGTTTCTCCTGTATTATCAGCAACAAATCTAAGACCTGTTTTAGTTTGGTGGGCAGCATTTGCTGGGGCTGTATCTAGAGTCTGTTCCAGGTCAAAAACAACATCCTCATATCTGTCTAAATATTTTGGATTTCTAAATGACTTCATTTTATTTTAATAATTATGTAATTTTCTCTTACGTGTTGAACCTCCACTAAGAAGGTTATTTAATCTTTGATTTAACTCTTTTTCACTTGGAATTGTTTCAACATTTTTATTAAAAGTAACTTTTGGTTTATTATTACTTTTGGATAACATTTGCACTATCTTGTCACCAGCCTTTTTGCCAACATGTTCACCAGTTTTTGTTGCAGCTGCTGTTACCGCTTTTTGAGCGCCTTTTTTAGCAGCTTTTTTCATTGTCTTTCCAAATATTTTTTTACCAACTGATTTAAACACATCCATCATTCCTTCTCCATAAATATGTTGTCTTGTATATCTCCCCAATTCAGGGTCAAGTTTCATTTTAAACTCTGATTGTCTCATCATTTTAATTTAATAGTTATATTACATTGAATGGAGTATCAAAGTCATAAACCAATCAATACCATTAAAATTTACTGGTCTTCCAAGTGAGTCTCTCACATAAATTCTCATTTGATCAATATGAAATGTAGATACAGAGCAATACAATGGTCTTTTAGGCTCAAACGTAAATGGAAAAGACCTTGTGAGATTGTCTGTTGGTATTACAGCAATGGTATTTGTATTTATTCCATTTACAATGCTATCAGTTATTGCGCTTGTGTTGATATTTAAAACATCAATCGAATTTGTGATATTTGGTAGTTTTGTTGCATACTCTGTTTTTGTAATAAGTTTCTTTTCAATTCCAATTAGGTCTCCAAATTTTGTTCCTCTCAGATCAAGTTGATACCCCCCTTCAATTGAAATTAAAACTCGATAGGTAGATAGTATAAAAGTTAGATTGATTGAATAAGTTTTTTTTCCACTTGAATCTGTTGTGTGATGATTTTTTTTAGTCATATATTGATGAATGTAATCATTGATATCTGAGTACGAATACATTCCATCTGTAAAAGTAATTGTTTGCCAGGTGGATCCATCATGTTTGCATTTGATTGTATTGTTTCCATATTCACTTCTAATGTTATGCCAAGAGTAAGTCATGGACAGCCGATCAAGAGCAACTTCGTGTTTCTTATCAGGGTCAAGTTTCAGAGATGGATTAAACTTAATAGTAAAATCACCAGGTCTGTTTGTTCCTCTTTTTTCCCTGTTTGCTGAGGAAATGTGGTTAGCTCGTTCTTCCATTTTTATATAATTGGTATATAATTTTTTTGTAAATCATTTAGTTGTTTTTTTGAGATTACTTTCATTTGGTTGAGACGATGTGCTATTTGAGAAAACTCAGGTATTACACCATTATTCCCAGCAAGAATTGAACCACCGAGTAATTCAAGTCTGTCTAGGAGTTGATGTGGGTTGTTAAAGTAAATCATTCCAGAGCCAGATTTTGTTTTATAATACTTAAGATTACTTAAATTTGTCGCATATATGCTTAATACGTTAAATTTATTTATAAAATTCATTGTGTTTTCATGTGGATTTTTACTTATTGGTTTAGCTAAAACATAACCGTTTGGGTCACGTGCAAAAATTGCAGTATTTTTTATTGCTTTACTAGTATTTTCTAAATCATCGTTAACATCATCAATTACTTTATCAATGGTAGAAACATCCTCTTCAAAATACTCAGAAGGGAGTTTGTGGTATTCATTAATTTTTAGTATATCTTGTGCTTGTTTATTCATTAAATATCTATCGAGGTCTTCAGCTTTAAATTTTGCTTTTTTTGACCCCTCATCTGATGTAGAATCTTCTTTAGGCTCTTCAAGTGCTTCAAAACCTGGTAATTGCGACAAATCCCATCTTTTTACCTCATCCATTTTATCAAATCCTTCAGTTATAGCAAGTCTGTTTTGATTAAGACCTTGTGTAAGAGCAAGTTGATTAGCTTGACGTTGTTTTATTAATGAGTCTTGCTGTTTATTAATACTTTTTTTAACACTATCCTGCGATTCAATAAGTGGTTTAAATGTTTCTTTAAATCCCTCTCTCATATTTTGTTTTTGCCATTGTGTTATTTTTATTACATCTCTCACCTGTTTAGTCAAAGCATCAGCTTCAAGTTTATTTCTTGCAAGTTTTTTGTATTCTTCAACATTCATTTTTATTTAATGTACATATTAGATAAATGGAAATACCAAACTATGATAGTAGTGACAACCCAGATAAAAAATATAAACAGTTATTTCCTTACATGCCATCAGACACATTTCGGATGTTAATCTGTGGAAACAGTGGAAGTGGTAAGACTAATCTGTTGTACCACATGTTAATTAAACCACTACTGTATTATGATGAGATTTATCTTTACGCGCGTAATTTAGAACAGGATAAGTATCAAAAGCTAATTCAGAAAATGAGGGAGTTGAGTAGTAAACTAGGATATGAAATACTTCATGTAAGTAATGATGAAATAACCCCAGTGTCAGAAATGGACTACGAAGACAATCAAAAACTTGTGATATTCGATGACTATGTTTGCGATAAAAACCAGAGACAACTGATTGATTATTTCATTCAAGGACGACATAAGAATTGCTCTGTGGTGTACCTCAGTCAATCGTTTTATAAAACACCAAAGGACATTCGGCTGAATTGTTCTCATTACTGTTTATATGAATTTCCATCATCTAGGGAGTCTAATAGAATATCATCTGAGTTGGGAGCTAGTAAAGAAGATTATAAAACAGCAACTAAAAAACCGTATTCATTTTTATATGTTGATAAACCAAAAAAGCGCATTGCAAAAAACTTTACTGGTAATCTAACCAATAATTAAAATGGGTATATTTAATGAACAATCTTTAGATCATCCCTTTGCTAGGGGAATTCAGGGTGCTCCAGGAGTTGGATTTAATCTCACTTCATGTGGGGATTATGATATGGTAAATAAAAAACTAAGAAATGTTGCTGTACCTAGTGCTAATACTGATGCTGCTACAAAAAAATATGTCGATGATAATTCCAGTGGATCACCCACAACAACACGACTAACAGTTGATTCAGACATTGATATGAAGGATAGTTACCGTATTCTAAACCTCAAACATCCAGTTGACGCAGATGAACCAGCCACAAAAAAATACTCAGACAGTCGTTTTCTTGACAGAGATGGTTCTCGTACAATGATTGGAGATCTGAGCATGAACAATCGCATTGTTAATGTTAAAACACCATCAACACAAAGTGACGCTGCAACTAAGAAATATGTAGACGACTCTAAAGTTGATGGTAGTGTCTTTTTAAAACTAGATGGAACAAGAAAAATGACTGGAAATCTGGACTTGGACAGCAATCGAATATATAATCTGCCAGCTCCAACTAATGTTAAACAACCAACACCATTGGGTTTCACAGATTTGAAGTATCTCCACGTTGCTGGAACAAATAAAATGACTAATAATCTAAACATGGATAATAATTAAAATAATTAACTTAAGAATACCAACAAATGACACAGACGCCGCAACCAAAAAGTATGTTGATGATAATGCTGGAAGTCCAGATTTAAGTGATTACTTGGAAAAAGATGGTACCGTCGCTATGACTGGAAACTTAAATCTTAACAACAATAAAATAGTTTACCTCAGTGACCCCACCACAGATCAACAAGCTGCTAATCGTGGATGGGTTCGTAAACAAATAGAAAGGTTTGATCATCATTTTGGAGATGGAACAAGTGGTGTATTTACCATAACAGATCCAGCTGCACCAACGACTTTGTATCTACAATATATCTCAGGATCATCCTTTGATGATTTTGTTTTTCCTACATCAGCCCCCGGTCAACCCCTTGTAGGATGGAAACCATCTTCTAACACCTATATTAATAAAATAGAATTCCAATTTGGATCACGAAATGTAAACGTTGACTTTTTGTGGTTTATTCCCAGAGATAGTTCCCATTCCAATTCTAACTTTTGGGTAAGTGGAAATCGCACTGGCACTTGGTCACTGAATATACACAAGTCTTGGAACTACAATATGTCAGGAGTAAAACTACGAACCCATAACAATTCCAGTCACTCAGCTATCACTTGTCGGGTATTCACTGATCTACCTAAAGCGATAACCAAACCACTTAAGAGAATAGAAATCAACACACCTGATATTGTAATAAGTGGGGTTGTAAAAGCTGATGTCAACCTTGGTGGTAATAAGATTACTAAACTCGGCAATCCGACAAGTCCTGATGATGCTGCTACAAAGCAGTTTACTGAAACGTTGGTCAAAGAGGCTACTAAACCAAAACCAAGTCATTCTACTAATGAATTTGCTTATCTCATGTCAAGTGCGGCTCAATGGACTGATGAAATAGATGGAGGAAATAGTTATTTTATAAGAAGAATACGAGACTTATCTCCTTCTAAAGGTAATTTTCATGACTATAACCACAAAGTAATTTTCATAGGAATAAACAAAAATTCACAAGGTGGATACAAGTACAAAATGGGAATCAACTTTTACAGGTTAACTGCAAATACTGATTACACCCTGTGTATGGAAATACTCAACACTGATTATCAGCTGTGGTATAAGTCTCAAATAAGTGTAGACAGAGGAAATTCAAGAGGAATAACAATTGGAAATGTTAGTGTAAGTAAACTATCCCATAGGTATCTTGATTCAAAAAATCAACCAAAATTTATGTATTACCATAGAATAATAATTAATTTTCGGAAGTCGCGGATTGGTTTGTGGGTTGGTGGAAGATATTTTCTTCACATTTTGGTTAATATTCCACAGGATGGAACTGATCTGGCTGTGTATCCGAGACAGTTTTTAGGAGTTTATATAATTACTTATGGTATTGTGGGTACATTTAGCAATATCGACCCAGATAAAGTTTACGACTATCACACCGCATTTGATGTCAAACCAACAGAAGTAATGTACAACGTTGATATTAATGCAAATCAAAAAGAAATTAAAAATATCAAACCTGACCGAAACAGTGATAATAGTGCTGCAACAGTTGCAATGGTAAAGGAGTTAATTCCTTTTACCAAAAATGCTTTGTACAGAAAATACTTTAGTGAGTTCTATGACTTTGCTGATGTGAATAGTTATGGAATAAATATAGGTTCATCTGGAGTTATTATTAATTCTTTAAAGCCTAATATTACACTACCACCTAATAAAGACCTAAGTGATATAGGATATAGAGGATTAAATGTTAAGGGTTATGATGTTACTTTTTCTCCTTCACATTCTTCGAAATCTACTTTATGTATTGTTTTTAGTGATTGGAGAAATAGGAGTTTTAGCCTAACTAAATATTTATCAACAAACAATAATATTTTAGTAAAATTAAATTATGATAAATCAAACAATAAAGTAACTTTAACTGTTAATAAAACAACTCAAAATTTTACCATGCCAAGTATTTTTAATGCAAAAATAATTGTTGTATGGTTAACAGAACATTTTGATACAAATGTTACAAAAGCTTCAATAAGTAACTACAGCTCAACATTAACTATACCAGCAGTACAATACAATGTTAATCAACGTTGGAAGTTTACAACTGAAGATGGAGTGATAATTAGATTAATGTACTCTCCAAACTTTTATGACACCGACTCTGAGCAATTTCACAAAGTAATGATTCAGGAAAAGTTAAATGGATATTATGTAGTATAAATATAAATGAAGGATATCTTTGAATTTAATCATATTGATAAAAATCTGTCAGAATCAGTCGTCACAACTCTCAAAGACTTTTATAAACATGATCACAAGAAATACTGGTGTTTTAAGCGGTCGTACAAAAGATATAAACTGCTTGATGAAACACTTACACTTTCTGGAGGAGGATTAGTGGTGATAGGAACTATCACTGGTGGAATAACACTAAATCCAGTAATACTTGGTGTTATAAACGGCGCTGGGGTGCTCGTTGCAAGTATTGCAAAAATGAAGAATTACAAGAAGAAAATGGAAATGACGCAAATTGCATTTACAACATATGAAAAAGTTCTCGTAGAATTGAGATTAGCTCTAAGGGGCGATGAGTTTAACAAGCAAGATTTTATCGATCGAATGAAGTTAATAGATGAAATGATAATTGATCAAACTCCTCTAGCAGATAGATTTGCTAGTAGGTATAATACAAAGTTTAAATAATAATGGTTTAAAGATTAAAATACTAAATAATATAACCTAGGATCTTATAGCAACATCCTTTCCTTTGATCCATTCATTTTGTTTATTATCAATATGTGGATATTAATGTAAATATCGAAATTCGATGTTTTTCTCAATTCTATGAATAACTTTATAGTGTTTATTTAGTGTTTCTTTTTTAATGAATGTTCTTGTACAATATTTACAAGGAATACGAACACCAGTCACATATTTATGGATTAGCTTGCTTATCTTATCGTAGTCATTGCTGAGTATAAATGCATAATCATTATTACGATACTTCTCTTTCATCTTCAGTTGAGATGTTGATATATTATAATTATTAGTTGGTGATTTAAATTCTATACAGAGACCTTTATAAACTTTGTGGTAATCAAGAATCATTAAATCTGGTTGACCTTTCTGATAACCCTTTTTATACGAATGTAGTCTCTTTTCCTCTGTATCTTGATTCTCTCCAAGTCCGGCTACCGATATAGAATTTGGATAATAATTTCTAATTAAGTTAACAACTTTATAATGAAGATCGGTTTCATTTTCTATTTTGAACATTTTGTTATTTGGGTTGTCAAAAAGTTTGTAATAACCATATTTACGAATAGATGGAAGTACTTGAGATGTTATCCAATGTTTAAACTTTTTAGTGGTTTTTAATTTTGAGGATAAAACAAGAGAATAGAATCAAATTCGTTAATATAAGTACACAAACTACCACTCGGGCCCACCGTCCACGTTTTGTGGACGCTGGTATGAGAAGTAAATATTTCTTGTTTATCCTCATTATCAACATGTCGTGATAATGCATCTTTTGTTTTACTATAGCCAAGTATCTCAGCTACATCTTTTCCTAAAAACCAGATATTTTGCTGTTTGTCAATATAAGAAGTTATTTCGATTCCTAACTCTTTATTAAAAAACTTTTTCTGCAACATATTTGATATTTAGTTTATACTTTTATCTCTTTAAGCCTATTTTAATTTCCACCCCCAGATACCATATCTTGATACATTTCATATCGCTTTAAAAATCTTTCCACATCAAAGTATAAGTCTTCATCAAATTCCATTTTTATATGTATTCCTTCAAATATTCTAACAATACTTTTCAAATCAGGTCGCAGAGACCCAGAAGGCGCAGTTTCTACAATTCTAGTCTCGATATCTTTCAATTCATCTCTAAAGTCTTTTATGTACTTTCTATCTACAAACTTACCATGATGACTTAAGTATTTACTCATCAGATTAATATAATTCATATATCTATTATACCATAACGAAGTAGCTCCAACTGGTTTTCCTTCTCTTTCTAGTTGTTCATGTAATGCAACTGACTCTGCCATGATAAGATCGTGTTGCATTTTTTCATCGTATGACTCAGATGAATTGAATCTATCTTTTAATTTATAAAGCAGTGATGCTCCTTCCTTTTCTAGATTAGCTTTTACAGTAGCAAAACTCATTTATTATACTTTATATAACTTTAAACCATTTTATATCTATTCATAATATAAAATGATAAAGTCAATTGTAGCATATGTTAATTACTACTTTCCCACATATAAAACACAGTTTTATCCAGATAACTTTATTAAAGCTTGTCTTGTTTACCAGTTTCTCTATGCAAAGTATTTCACGCAGAAACTAGACATAAACCAAATTATTTATAGACTAACAGACGCGAGACACTATCTAAATTCAAACTCAACTATTCTTACTAATCACTTAATATTTAGTCTCGCTTTTAGAGCTTTCTGGAAACAGTATAGAATTGGTAGAGGATATGTAGATGCAATCAACACTCCTTTTAAAGAATGCGAAGTACTTGGTTATCTAACTGGAATTATTTACTGGATCTTTCACAAAGGAGTGATTTGTAACTATCCCACCACTTTTCATAATTCTCCATAGTTTGTTTGGAAATCTTAAGATAAACTAGTTTGTACTTTTCACAACCCATTTCTTCCAAAAGTTTTTTGATTAGATAAAAAATGCTTATCATTCTCTTTCTACAAAATTGTTTGTTTAGTATTTCCATGACGTGGTTATCTATATTCATTAGTTTATTGTACAGTTCACACTTTTGATCATCAGTTAGATGTAGTCTTTTGGAAACTTGATCAACCTTTTTCTCGTAGTGATACTTTCTCTGATAAATACTCTTCTTTCGAAAATGTAATCGATCGTACTCTTTCAAGTCAAAATAACCAAGAACATGACCATTAGTTAACCCACAAGAATCGCAAATATTATAACCTGATTCAACTAAGAAACTATCGCTTTGACAATTCCTACATCTAACTTTTGTACATATTTCCCTTTCTGATTGGGTGTTATATTTTCTTAATATTTCTAAATATCTTTCTATTTCTTCTTTTGTGTAAGTCATTTATTATATATCTTATTATCTTAAAGCAAATGTTTTTACTTTATCCTCTAATACCGTTCTTTTATCATCTTCATTACTCAGAGCTATTTTATTTACTTCTTTTGAATATATATCATGATTTTCACTTCTTATAATTTTCATAGATCTCATTTGCTTTTCACCGGAAAATAAACAATGAACATAGTCTTCAAATTCTATTCCCTTTTGTTACAACATTTTTCTTTATACCTTTACATTTACGAACTTCTTCACTTTCCTCTATTTTAAAACTATATAGCTTGGGTCGCAATCCAACAAAATAAGTAATCTGTTTTCCTGCTACTTCATCTTTAAACATACCGATAACTTTTTTGTTAACTCCTGTCAATATTCCAGATGGGTGATCAGGAGGATAATCAGATGTGTCAAACTTGTCTTCTATGTCATAGGATATATCCTTGTAAAAATCATCTGTATAAATCTGATACATCAAGCTATCGGTATCTGTAAACAATAACTCTGCCCTGTGTTTATATTTCTTTTGAATATAGTTGTAATGAAAATTGAACATTAATGTTTTTGACGGATCTAGAATTGCTTGTCCAACGTATACTGGTTTATTAAAGTATACTTCAGTTTTTTTCATATGAACTGCAATAAGATTTTTATCAAATATTGTTGCTCTATCAAAGTTTGGACGACTTGTTAATTTTGAAGCTTTCTTACGATCATCAACTAAAAATATATTTTGTCTTTTCCTTATGTTTTCTATTGTTTTTCCAAATACCGAATTATTCATTAATTTAAAAAAGTCTTTCTCAAAACTGTTGGCTGCTGTTTTTCTAAGTTCTGTATTCTTTCTTATGTAAGGTTCCATCCAAGAACTCTGATTAAAAGATATTCCTCTATGAACAGCAGTAAGTCTCATTCCCATCTCAAGATATTGTCTAAGATTTCGATAATGTACAACATAGTTTTTTCTTGGTTTAAAATGACAAATTAGTTTTTCAACACCGTTAACAATCATTTTTTCAGGTGCTAAAGGATAGTCATTATGTGATTTCCATAAAACAGGAGGGTATTCCAAATCTACTTCAAATATATATCCTTTTCTTCCAAGATCTGACATACTATGATTTGCTTTCTCTAGAATGTTCATTACAGTTTCTTTTGTTAAATCTCTTATCCATTTAAATTCATGTGTTGGAAGTGATTGTGACATTGCCCAACCGTAAAGATTATTTGCGTCGAGGTATTGAATATAAGTAGAAGGTTCATCAGGATTGTAATCAGTCATGTATTTATTATTCGCTTCTGCATATCTTTTTGATATATGAGATATTCCTCCACGAATACCTTTTTCAAACATCATCAACATATCATAGTCATGCAACAGTTGTAATTCTTGACCTGTTTCTTTGAGACATGCATCCCAGGCTAAACCAGGAGATGTATAGTAATGTGCTGGATCTAGATTGTAATGTTTTAGACAAGTTTTTCTAAAGTTTTCAAATACATCTGAAAAAAGTAGAACATCAGACTTTAGGTAGAGATCGTGATAATCTCTAATTGTTTTACATTTAAAAGTATTCCAGACATTACTAGCGTGTTGATAATCATCATCTGATATACCTTCATCATTTAGTTTTGAATAGAATTCTTCTTTTGGAGGTAATTGTTTTTCAGATAGTTTTTCATCTGAGGAAACATAATCATAAGGATAAACCCCCTTACGAGTTAGTAGGTTTATATTTTCACTAAATATTTCTTTTGTGTTGTGAAAATCATCTGGTTGTAAATTTCCAACAAGATTAGCAAGGGATGTTTGAAGAAACTTGAATGAATCAATAAATCTTATTTCAAAATACAATGAAATCATTTCTCCAGTGTGTCTAGATTTATACTCATCAACCTTAATCTTTTTGGAAAACGAGATATATTTTTCTTCTGTTGATTGAATACAGTTTAACTCACCTGGAATAGTAGAAAGTTGTTTTATAAACAAATGTGCATCATACCCTTGTAGATTATGAAATATAACTGGAAGAATCATTGGCTTCCTACACTGAAGATTGCAACTGTTATGAGCAGCTCCACGGTATTGACCAGTAAAATGGCAATGATCTCTAACTTTATCAGTAAGTAATTCTTTCTTACAAATATGACAGGTTTCCGCTTTATCAAAGGATATTTGTTCTTGTCTTGTTAAACGAAGAGGTATTGGTCGATGATAAAAATCATTATATATCTTATTTGTTACTTTTTGCAAGTTTAGAAACAAATATTTTAGAAATGTCATCAGTACTTTTGGTTTTTGTGTAAATAATTGGTTCAAACTTTGTATTAGGATCTATTCCTTTGATGTAAAAACAAAATCCTGATGGTTCATGCTTTTGATAATTGTAAGTATATGATTTTTCTGGGTTAGGACTACAAGTATTCATTGGCTTGGTAAAACATTCAAAATCTGCATAAACTACAAAAGGAATTGGAAGTTGTTTGTGATAATTTTTAAAACCTAACATTGTGTTT